AAAGTAAAATAGGAGACCATGTTTTACAGATTTGACTCTGTATTATTGATTCAAAGTAGTTATCAAGAGCACAGGCAAGATGTCTAGTTCTTAAACAATGTTTGATGAGCATCTAAGTGAGCTTACACACCAGGATCACCTACAGCAACCCTGGGGATACTCTGCATTCTGTGGTTTTCTGCATACGTGTATAGTGAACTGGGGTTTTTCCTCTCCCACATTTCTTTCTGCAGTTCCATGATGGCAGTCAATACTGCTTTTGTGTCAGTAACCAGAAACAGCAGCATCCTCCATTTAGGAAAGAAAGGTTTTACAATGGATATATCAATATGGGAAGTACAGACAGCATCGATATCCAGATATGCCTGTATATATCTTGGAAGAATTAAGAAGAAAAAGATCATTCAAAACTGAAATACCAGCTGTTATTTTATTAGTGCAAAAAAGTAAAGTGCTGTTTATTTCTCCAAACTCTCCTTTGCTTACAGCAGGCAGCTGTACACCACCTTTGCCTTTTTCATTCAGAAGAGTGAGAGGGAGACATGGGATTTTGCTAGGGAGGGGAACAAGATGAACCCCATGGCAAGCCCATAGGCATGAAGGAACACATGGGAGACCTGCAACAGTCTATCCTGGTACTAAGGCTTCAGGAGATCAAATGCCATTTAGAAAGTGCAGGTTGAAAACAGAAGTTTGTGGAATTTCAGACTGTGCCTAGTCCAGCCGCACCTCTGGGAGGTAGCTCCAAAAAACGTGAGGTGGGACAAATGTGAAAGAAAACCCCTCTGAGGACCATGAAACTCACTGATGCAGCCTGTGAAATGGGGAGCTCAGATACCCCACCAGCCTCATGGGTGTGCATTCGCTTCCTTAACCTCCAGGTAAATGTACCCCACTGGGACCTTCCTTTGTGGGCAGCAGGAGGGCTTTGGGGCAGGGAGGCACAGTTTTCAAAATAGGGGAAAGATCCCTGGAGTGTGTTTCGGAGCTGATGCTGTGCTGACCCCACCACAGCAAAAAGGGGAGGGAAGTGTTTCAACAAGCCTACTTTACCCTCTTCATCCTGATTGCATGCTTTGTGTCAGAGACCTTTTCCACCCCAAGGTCTCCTTTAAATCTCTCTCTTTTCCTGTCCCGTACCCTGGCTGGCAGCCTAAGTACCTCCCTACAATCTGCAGCTGTGATGTGCCTGTGTAAATCGACATGATCCCTTGGAGTTCAGTGGCATTATGCTGATTTACTTGCGTGCAGGGTCTGGCTCTGCTGTTGTGTGTGCGATTTAAACAAGATGTTCCTCAGGCTTAGGCATAAGTGAATAAATGATACTTGACATTTTGGAGAAGCTCATGTTCGCTAAAAAGCATTTCTTGTTCCAGTAGACTCACCCTGGTCGTTTATTCACTTAGCTCCTCTGCGTTCTTTCTCCTTTCTCGTGATCTCAGCTCAGCACTGTATTGCTTGCAGGACCCACGTGTGCAGAGATTTAACTTCCCAGGTGAGCTAAATGTTTTTTGGTGCCATCTCAGGTTCCTTCAGCACTTTCTCTGCAGATATCAGTGCTGATAAAATCTCCCAACTGCACTCTCAGTGCATCTGCAATGCTCTACTCCCAGGTGGGACCAAGCCACGAGGAAGGGCTGGGTTTGCATCTGGACTATAACATCTCTCCTGCTCAGACACGGCTCCCTCCTGTCTATTCATAAGACCGGTATCTTGTGTGTTTTCTGCATCATGGTTCCTTTCCCAGCATCTCATGGAAATCATTGAATTCAGTCTAGATTGGAAGGTCATGGTGTGGGAAAAAGGCAGTGGATTGGCCTGGTTGTGTTCTGATTGGAGATGTCACTGGTAGAAAATATTTTCTCGTAGTATTTCCCAGCTGCAGCCTACTCCTGGGCTCTGCCATGAAGGTTCTCATGTGCCAGCTGAGCCTTCCAGCTCATGGTCCCTAAAGGGGTTGGTCAGTCCATTGACTCTATCATCAATTAAGTGATTGGCTTTGTGCCTGGAAGGATGCCATGGCTCCTCCAAAGAGGATAACTATAGCACAAAGGCTATTTTTTCAACTTCTGGTGAAGTAAGATGTCCTCCAGGCTTGTTTATTTCTTCAGGAGAGAGGGGGAACCACACAAACATTGAGGGAGACAGGGAAAGGGGCAGAGACCTTGTAAAACCAGGCTTGAAATTTAAGGTTGGAAGGGACCATCCTTTTAATTCCTTCTCAAACAAGTAAGAACTGGGATTCAAGTAGGTAAGAGCAGCCTTTAAAAATGTGAGTTTCAGGTTCCTGCTTTACAATGGTGATTTTAATAGTTTGCTTTCTCCCAGCCAGGAGAAAAGCACGTTCACCAACTACGACATGAGCTATTTTGATGCTGGACCTGGTAGATATACTCCAGATAGGCTGGCTGAACAGCCCAGTTGGCTCAGAGCACAGCCTACATCCCACTGCATAGGTGGCCGTGATCTACCACTTGAAGCTCTCCTCCCTCACCACACACATGCACAAAACAGCTTGAAATGCCGTTTGGGATACACCTGCTGCTTCAGATAAATCATTCACCATTGTTGCATCCAGTGTTCCTCCTACAGAAAATTTATATAGTACTGCATATAAAACCCAGCTGTTAGCACTTTAGCAGATATCAATCCTTCCCTTCTCCAAAGGGGTATTGCTTCCAAACAGACATAGTTTGGGTTTGACTTCTTTTTTCTTGCTCAAAGTTTTGGCTGCTTAGACGTCCTCTATTTTCCATGAGCAGATGAAGGTACTTCAGCAGAGCTAATATTACTTGTTAATCTTTGTGGCATTCAGCAGAGCACGGAGAAATGGAAAAATCTTTGCAGGGTTTTTGTTCTTCGAGAGAGAACTGAAGAGATTTGGAGCTGCCAAATTGCTCAGCCAGCAGCAAACTGAGACTTCTGCTTCTCACAAGGAAAAAATATTCATGTTTTTATGTTGATCTAGGTCTGACTTGTTTATCTCTCTTTGATTCAATATCCCTAACTTCTTTTCCAGGTTTACCTAGATTGCACCTGAGGCTGTTCAGGTCTAATCTCCTCTTGTTTGAGTTGAGCTATTGGTGCAAAGTGCAGAAAAGAATAGAAGGAGAGAAACCATCTCAGCAGTGTGACTTCTGGCAACATGGGTGGGAGTGGAGTGGTTAGTGCCTAGGGATATGCTTAGGTTCTCAGGAGGAGAAGGGGATGTTTGCAGCTTGGTACAACTCCAGCAGAATGCACCCAGCCCACCTCTGCTCTGCCAGCTCTTGGCACCACCCATCCACTGCAGGAAAACTTCCCACTGTGTTGGTTGTCTTCCTTTTTGCTCCATGGGCAAAATCCAATTTAACAACTGCTCATGATCAACATAGTGTTCTCAGCCTCCTGTTCTGCTTCACTTCTGGCCATTAGTGGCCAGTGCAGTGAACCTGCTGCACCATCTATCCCCAAAGCCTTTGGGATGGTGCATGAAGTCATGTTTTCTTTGAGTGGTGGTGTCTGGGAAGAAAGATGGGAGCTGCAAAACCAGCAATGCAGAGCAGCACTTGCTCATGCCCAGTTACAGTCTGAGCTCTGCGAGGGCAGGGAACCACCCTGCATTGTTTGTGCTGGGCTGGATGAAGGCATCGCATAGCTGTGAATGGAATGAGGCACCCCTCATGACATTGATACTGTGAATGTATCAGGTGGCATGAGAGCATCCTTCAAAATAGCCACTGCAACCACATAAGGCAAAAAACAGAACCAAGAGGACACTGTGCTGTGGGAGTGGGGAGGAAAGGCTGGCTTGTCCAGTTTGCCTTTTGCCATCATTTTATTTATTTTCTCTGCAATTTTGTACTACTTTCTCCACTTGATGATTAGGAACATAACCAGAGAGATGTCATGCACCCTCTTCCTCCACTGAAAGTTGCTAATGGTGTGGGAAACAGTCTTAATGTGAGATGAGGGACAAGCTTAGAATGCATCTCCCAGGCTACAGTTATCCATGTGGTTGGTCTTTTACCAGCTTGTGTTGGGTCTGAAGCCATCCATGCTGTGCTTGGGAAGAGCTGGAGGTGGATGGACTACTGTGTGCTCTGTCCTGTTCCTTTCCATTCAGATGAAATAAAGCCTGACCGAAAACAAAGATTTGGGTATAGCTGTCCCAAGCTCCAATGTTCCATTTTGAAACTATGATACTTGCATGTAAACAATAGGAATGGGACAGGAGCTGGATGAACTGCTGAACTACACCAAAGTGGCATTGTAGGCATCCCTTGGGATACATGTGAAGAGGCATGAACATCTTTTTCAATGTGATTATTCTTCCCAAGGGAAACTTGTGCTAGGAAGCGTAAGGAAATGTGGGCCACCAGGTTACTGTCATTTGTGTGCAAGTCAGAGAGCACACAGGACAAAATTTGCTGTCCTGTTTCTCTCTCCTGGATGTTATCTGATACTGATGATGTTTTCCTGAAACTACTACTGGAATTAGATTGCTGCTGGGGTGGTGATACACACACTGTGCTAAATGTCAGGGCCAGGAGCATTTTTTGACCAGCTCTTCCTCCTGTTCAAAGCATGCTTACATCAGGAGAAATGCCATGACTACACACTGAACAAGAAGAATGCCCTTAAAATTCATCTATGATAAACCAATTTTCTTCTTTTGAAGGTCTTAGAGCTAAAGTGTGCATAGGAGAGGGTTTTCAGCAGGTAAATTAGCATTTCTCTAGAAGATGCTGCCCAGCAGGAAAATAAGATTGGAGTTGACCAGACTTGTTCTTTGTTCGTCTGAAAACCACAAGCTTAAGGATTGTGAAGCTACCCTGTGCAAGATCTTCCCAAAGGTTTTCCACAGACATAACTCATTCCCATCTTTCTGCATCCATAATGAACTGGAGGATCTCAGGAAGGTCCCTCCTCATAAACACAGAGGAATATCTAGCCCACATCCATCTGAGGGATTTTAGGGGCTCTGAGGCCCATAAACAGGCAAAGACACAAAAGAGATATTTTATGAGAATCAATAAAGATTTCTTTTTATTTTAATTCCCTTTTTACATACACCTGTGGTTTGTCATTTTCCGCTCATTACTTTGGTCCATACAGAAAGCAGAAGTGGAGGAATGTAAACCAAATGTCTGCCTGACGACACACACAAGGCAATGTCCTCGTAACACATACAAAGAAATCACAGTTTTGTCCTTTAGCTTTTCAGTCTTGTCCCTCTTCTGAAGTGAAATAAGGTCTTACAAAACCACTTCAGTGAAATTACTTGTGTGTGGGGAGGAAGAAAACACCCAAATTTTTTCCCTCCTGCTGACACTAGAAGAAAAGGAGCCAATATTCCCCAAACAGATGTGTCGGACCGAGCTTGGCTGACTGCTAGGAATGGCCGAGTCCTTTTTCTAATGCCCACACCCCATCGCCACCATGGCTTGGTCACCCTGAAGTTGCTGAGAAGAAGCAAGGAGTTTTAGCAGCAGGTCTGTCTCTTCGTGCATGCCCCAGCTCATGCAGATGGCAAGAGATTGACGTTGTGTTTCTGAACATGGGGATGGGAGACGATGCTTGGATACACCCGTCCTTCCTCTTCTGCCACCAAATGCCTTTCTCTGCCACCAGCTCTACCTGACACAACCCGTCCTTTAAAACATTTCACCTCCAACAGCAAACGGCTTCTTACTTATCCTTCCCCGCAGCCCTCAAGGAAGAGTGATTAATTTAGACAGAGGAAAATTAAAAGGTAAAAGCTCAGCCTGGCAGGAAGCATCCAGCTCTATATTTAGAAGGGCCCATGCCTGTTGTAATGCTCTGGTTTAAATAGATGCTGCTTTCCTGGTGAAGTCATTGTTTTGTCTTCTGTTTTAGGTACCTGAGGTCTGCTCTGTTTGGAGAACATCCTTCATTAAAGCTCATTTTAAGTAGTCTTTCATGTGGTTATTGTATCTCTATTTCAGAGGACGTAGGCTCAGGCATTTTGGAAACCCGGTGCATACTCATCCCATCCATCTCAAATATTTTAATCCCATGCCTTTTTTTTTCTAGCAAGATACCATGCCCTAAATCCCCACATGTAGAAACTGACCCCAATACAAAAGCCCAATGTTGTCACTCATGAAGCATTTTGAGAGAGGAGACTCTGGCCATTCAGACCATCTTCTGCCACTTGATCTCTGCTTTCTGTTTTTTTGGCAAACAAGGTTTTGGGGACAAGGGAAGGGTAAGGTCATTTGTTTGAATCATTATCTTTTTCCTCCTCAGAATTTAAGGGTAAATCCCACTCCATGGAAATCAACACGCATTTTGGTGTTGGTTTTCATGGGGTCAGGATTTCATTCCATATCAATGCCAGCACATCTGTGTTGTGCCCAGAATGAGTAACTCTTGCTTTGAGGAAGATAACCAAATACTATCAAATTCTTGAGATCATATGCCAAGAAAACAATTGCTATGGTCACAGGGAAAAATTACTCTGTGGGACCCAGGAGAAATGTGTTTGAATACCAGGTCCTTGTGCTGAGGCTGCTCTAATGTATCCTTTTTTTTTTTTTTTTTTTCAGGAGAAAAAAAAAGAAAGAAAAAGTGCTAGTGAGGATGAAGAAGAAGAGAAAGTTGCACAGATTTTGATAAAGTCCTCGTTTGCTTTTTCAAGACATACCCTGTTGCGGAGAAAGTGTCATCGTGCAGTAGAGCCCATCTCTATTAAATCTGTGCTGGACAGGGAGGTCTGCCTGAAAAGAAGCCAGATTTATGACTCCCTGGTTACTGATGTTCATCTGGGTCAGCTCTTCCTTCACTTTTTCTTTTGTTCCTGGCCCCTGTGCTGTGTGCCAGACTCTGAGCTGATTTCCAGCCCTGCCCTGCCTCACTGGAGTCTTACGAATCCGTTCCGAATTAGGACAAAGTTTGTTGTGCTCTGTTTTTGCAAACGCTGCCTCTGGCTCCCTTACAACGCAGCGTCACTGCCCATCAGTGCTGAATGCCATCAGGAGATGTGTTCAAACAGGCGACAGCCCCAGATGGTACAATAACACACCGCAGATGCAAAGGCAGCTCAAGGAACAGTTCTGCAAGCGTGCCCCAAAGCAACATGGATGGACCGACCTAGAGAAGGGCACATAAACTACCTGAGCAGACCAGAGCATTAAATTTAAATTAATCATAAAATAGAATATCTGATAGCAGTGTGCCAGATTTAAACCCAAGCCCCCAGACACTGGAAAGACATCGCGTAAGCTTTGCAGGTCATAATGAATGTCTCAAGATCTTCTATGAGCAAAACACGAGTGAGTTCAATTGGAGGCTGAAATGCTGTGCCAAGGTTTGCAAACCTTTCCCTGGCCCGTGGGAAAGGTTTCACTGAACCTTATTTGATATTTCTTTTAACGCTCCCCGATGACTTCCATTAGCTTCTCACACTCTTTTTCCCACTTGCTTCCCAAATTCTGGCAAAATGTTGATATTATCTTGAACTTTGTAAACTGCGGGGCTAGTTGAAACCTGAAAGCTGGCGTGAAAGCTTGGAGGATCTGAATTCCCATGCAAGTAGGAAAGAAAAGAAAAAAAAAAAGAAAAAGGAAAAAAGAAAAAAAAAGAAAAAAAGAAAGAAGGAGCTAAGAAAAATCCCTACTAGTTAAAACAGCTGAGAATGGCTAAGTGACCACAGTGCATGGCCGCGGGGAGAATAGAGTAATCTGGACAAGCAGAGATAAAACACGTTTGCTTTATGTGATGGCTGATGCCTTGGGTGTCATTTTATTTAATCCCAAACAGCAAACCCAGTGTCTAATTCTCAGCAGAGTATTTCTGTTGCTACAGTTGGAAGCTTTATTTTAATTCCATTATGCAAATTGCAAATGAGTCTTGAACTGTGGTCTAGATTCAGATCTGTTTTGCCTTGGCATTCGACCGAGTTAACTCAATTAACTTCAGTGGAGTAGCTCCTGCCTTCTGCCAATGAACATAAAATCAACATCAGGTCTGTTTCTAACTGTCCTGCCCTAGGGACTGGCGTTGAATGACTCCGTCCGCTCATTATATCTATTCCCTCCACCACAGAGAACTCCTTCCACACAGGAGAAGCCAGAACACCAGACACTGCACAGAAACCATTAGAGCATTCAACAGAACCTGATGAAATAAACGACAAAAAAAAATAACCTATTATGACTATTTTATTGTTTATAATCATTCTTAAGTGCGGAGCAAAGACAGCAAGTCTTTTTTCTTACTCTCCGTGCTCTTTCCTTAAAAATTCATGGCGAACAAAAGACAGTTTTGGCAGCCCAACCTTTCGGCTCTGCCAGGGTGCCTGTGCTCTGAGCCCTGTGTGATGGATGTGATGTGACTAGGGTGCTGTGCAGCCGATCTGAGCAAATTGTTTTCCCCTCCTGATGTTCCAGATTGGTTTTGAATCTCGGAGTTGAGATTGGCTCCTAGCCATTAAAAAACCCTGAGTCTGCATCCAGTTAAAATGGAAAATGAAATGCCTGACTGAGTTCTTTAGGTGAGATTTAGGGGGTTCTTTTCTAGGGCAAGGTTGGAAAATAGGAGCTAAGTGTAAAGAAGGACCCCAACCAACATGAATTTGGGATAGAAGGACAGGGGTGTCCACTCTGCTAGTCCTTGCTGTGGTCTTTTCTGCCCACTAAGGAGAAGCACTGTCGAAGACCTAAAACTGTTGCTGGTCCTATCCCCTCTGCAGACCTGGACCACCACCCAGACTAGTGCTACAGTCTGCTAGCACTGCCAAAAACACATGTCTCAGGCTCACCTGCACCTGCTGGACTCTCAGTAGAAGATCCCTGCTCTAAAATAATCAAAACCACCTACAGGCCAAAGAGGAGCCAGTGAAGATGTCTATCAGGCCTGAATAAAGAAGTACCTTGATTAGGACACATTTTGCCTCTTATGAGGCTTGATATATAGACAGCAAATAAACTTGTGGCTAACCACGAAATGAAGCTCATGAATAATATTTCTGGCTAAGACTTCCAGAACAAGGTCACTGGTTTTGGTTTAGCTGGGCTTGATGTCTCTGAGCTTTACATGACCAAAAGCTGGTCACAGGTGAGTTCTCAGTCACATCTCTGTACACTTCCATGCATCCCATGGAGCACATAGAAACACGAGACCAGGTGTCTGGCTCAATTGATCAGGTAATGGCTCATTATTGGGGGAAAAAAAAAAATCAACCTTTATCTTTTTTTTTTTTTTTTTTTTTTTTTTCTGAGCAAAAGCAAATAAGAAAATTTAATTTGTTTCTTAGATTATTTTTTTTTTTTACCATTGTAATGATGAAGTTTTATTTTAGTACATTTTAGTTAATCATGTCTTTGTAACAACTCACCTCTGCTTTCTTTTGCTCTCCCACCCTTAGCTAAGAGCTAAGCTTGAGTTTGATTTTATGAGAGACCACAAAAATAGCCTGGATGGAACAGGGTAAGCCCAATAACTTTTGTACAAATGGCAGGATTTGCTGCCTCAGAACAACACGTTATTTTGGGCCAACAGAATTTGTTGTCCAGGGGGCTCAACCTTTCACTTCTGTAGGCAAAACCAGGAGGACTGCTTTCCAACAAATGTCCACAGAGATGGACATGATCCTTATTTTACTTATACAATTTATGAACCATTATGTTTTCCAGGCAAATCCAGACAGACCTGGCCAATCCATGATGGAAATTTATTTATAGGGTCTTTCGCAAACTCATTTCCTTTACAATTTAATATTTTTCTCATTTCAAGACACCCTAGAGGAATGGGATATAAAATCTACTCTGTCTGGAGAGTGACACTGGGTTCCTGAAAAGCTCTGTAGCTGGCCAGGAATATCATATATGTCCTCTATTTACTCTGCAGAATGTGGCAATTCATCAGCAACAGAAGTAAAAATAATAATAATTTTAAAAAATTAAACACAAAAATAGAAGTAAAAATAATAATAATTAAAAATATCAAACACAAAATGTGTTCCAGCATAAAGACTGTTAAAAATAAATAATTTCCCTAGACCTCTCTGAGGATGCAACATGATTTCTCCCCCAGCTGGTGCTGTCAGCTGGAAAGTGCCATGGTGAAGACCTACCTTAACCTGCTCATGGCCTTAAAACAAAGCTTCCTCACATGCTGAGCAATTTACAACTTGCAGCCACCAGTGCAATGCCCATTTATGACATAGGATACATGGCTGAGGAGGCAGACACCAAACCCATAACCCCAAAGGCTGGAAAATGCTGTCTCAGTTTTTTTTTGTTGTTATTTTTTTTTCTCTCTTTTTCTTCCTGTTACAGTTAAAATGTCATAAAATCTGCATGATTGTTTTTTCAATTCTGAGTGGAAGTTGTGCAGGAAAATCAGCCAGTGAAAAAACAAAACAAAACAACAACAACAACAAAAGAAAACCAAAATGATAGCCGAGGTTTCTTAACTTTTTAAAAGATCAGATTATGAAGTTTAAAAATTTGTAAGCCAGTCATAGAATTAATCAAAAAAAATAACCAAGAATAAAATTGGATCTTCACTCCTAACGTATTTTTATATTTAAAAAAATTGAAAAATTTTACCAGCACTGTGGATGTTCTGCAGCTTTCAGCCAATTGCCCATAAACAAAAAAATGATGCTAATCCCTGGCTGAGGAGTTCAGTTTTCAGGAGAACTTTGTCAATATTTTGGCTCTGATATGTGTTGGACAGGATGGAGCAGAGCTGAGGAATGGTGCGGAATGGGAAAAGACATAATCTCATTTGCACCAAGACAAAGCAGTTTATAGAAGGTGTAAAATCACTCATCTGCACTTATTCAGGGGAAAAGGGAAAAGGGACTCAGGAGCATCAGCAGAAGGTGCTGCTGGGCTGGGTACCATGATTTAAACCTGCCAGGGGTTGAGATTCCCTGCCCAAACCCAGCACCTCAGTGGCAATGGAGAAGAGGACAGCCACCCAAAAGTTGGGCAAGGAGACCTCTCCCCAGTGTGCTTAGAGAAGCAAGAGGAGCTATAGGATACAGCCAGATGCTTTACAGGATGAGAAGAAAAAGGAAACAAAGCTGACACAGTGGAAGAAAAACTGGAAAAATACAGACAATCAGTTCCTCCAAGCCTTTGCCTCCTCCTAGGTGGGTTTTTGTGAAAGTCCCTCTACCCAAGCGTTGGCTGCATCCTGACTCCACAGCCACCTGCTCTCTATCCTCCTCCATCCTTTTTTTTTTTTTTTTTTTTTAGGATGAGATCTCTGGATGGGGATAAATTGTCCTTGAGAAGCGCCTGCATCTCCCGGTGATGGAGAAAAGTGAAGGTGACCGCACTCCAGATCTGGAGGCTTTTGGCTAAGCACTGGCAGGACCACTCTGCCTGCCCTTCCAGCACAAATTCAAACTGCAAATGGTGGTTTCTTCTCTGTTTCAGAGAATCAATGGAGGATGTCCTTGGATCTCTACCTAACAAAGCACAGCCTACGCACTCAGTCAACACTTTCTGCAATCTCAGCACTCAGCACAGGACAGATAGGAACAGACTTTGACAAATATACAGTCTGCCTCACAGTCTGTCGTGAGTTTAAAGGCAAAATTATTCCCCTGTTTTGGTATAAGCATCTTCCTTTTTTCATGAACACTGAAACACCAAGAAAAAAGAATCTATTATGTATGATTTGCATGTGAAAAGATCAGGAAAAAATTTCTTCCCATTGTGCATGTAATTTTTATCTCCATTTATCATCAGTTTTTAAGCATTTATTCTAAGTAATCCAGTGATGAATGCATTTCAGTTTACGAGGGGTTTTGGATTTGTTTATAAATAATTTTATGGTTTTTGCTAATTCCTTGAACTTTGCTAAGTGATTGTCAAATATTATTAATCTTGAGGTGTCTGTAACAAGCACAAGTAAACAGTGAGTCACCAGTGGGTTTTTTGGTGATTCTTTCTTTTTTTTTTTTGGTCTTTTTTTTTTTTTTTTCTTTTGCTTTGTTCCAACAGTGAAATGATGCTAAGTGATCTTTGAGCGAGAAAATCAGGAAGGTCATTGCAGGTACTTGGAGGATTTAAGCACAACATACTTCTAGATGGATAGAAAGCCAGAGACAGCATACTCAATGTGCTTCTCTCTTATCGGTGGTTCAGCCACATGGGATGGTAAATATCGCAGCTGTACACATTGACAGCTGACTGGTGATAACTTCTACCCCCTTTATATTCCCTCCTGAGGCCATGCCAAAATCTGTGAAGAAAAGGCGAGCAGTGAGCATGTCTGGGATGACCCAGATTTCTGCAGAGCTGGTTAGGTCTCCATGCCAAGCTTTCACTAGAGCTGACTTCTCTGGCAAGGCTACCTAACTTCTCTGTAATAGCATTGTTAGCATTGTCCCTGTGAATATTGTTGTTCATAATAGCAACAGTGACAATAAGAGAGCAGGAAAAAAAGATTATGCTTTGAAAACCTGTCCTTTCGATAGCTGCTGATTTGGTGGTAAATGGTTATGAGGAGTTTTGACTTATTCTAATGATACAAAACAAACAAACAAAACCAAAACAAAAATAACAAACATCACAAATAAATACTGGCTTTTAAAGATTGGCTCATGTGTGTTTGCAATTGGTTGAGAGGTGCTTCAATGCCTTACAGAGGCTACCACATCCCCTACCTATCTCTTAGCCACCACACCCCTACCAGGTCCGAATCCAAAACCCAGGGATGTCAAGGGGAGGAGGTTTGCTCCTTGATTTCGCTGGGTGTTGGATCCTAACCTGAGAGGCTGTTTAAAGATGATGTGGGACACAGAAAGCAGAGTCAAGGTCTCAGCAGCTCTTCCTGACCAACTTCAGAGTTTTGGGGGAAGTTTGTCCTTAATACGTACTTAAAAGTCTCAGTGGTGAAGTGATTGGATACATCTCGGAGGTGCTGGTTGGTGCCACCCAGCAGCATATCTAAAGGACCAGGACAGAGAATAGGTTATTCTATAGGTTCCACCTGCATCCTAAAGGACTTCTGCAAACTGCCCCAAGGCCTGTTTTCTATCCGATTTGCATAACAGTAAGGTGGAGTAAAAATGCTTCTGGTGATTGGAATTTACCAAGAAAGAAAAAAAGAAATATGAAAACAAAACAAAACAAAGCACCACGAGAGGCTGACTTTTGGACAGCTTGAACTGAATAGTGACATTATGACAGGGTCTGAAGAGAGGATCCAGGCTGGCTCAGCCAGAGTCCTTTCTTTGAGGAAGCACTTGCTGCAATAGGAAATCTGGTCACTGTTCCTAATTTTGTAGTACTGGACACTTCTCAATCATGCTTCAGAATGGTCAGAGACCCTTTGCTAATGCTCAGCTGGTGTGAAATGGCCTCAGCACATAGCACGGTTGGTCAACAAAGGCTGTATCTCTTTGCCACTGATGAAGACATGAGGTGTGTCAGAAAACGACCTTTTGGCGCACCTTGCAAAAACCACCAGCAAGGAAAACTCTGCACAGGGACAAAATATTCCTGGTCTCTCTCTCTTGTAGGAAGCAGGTTTTTTTCTTGTGCTCTTCCCTTCAGAGGCAACCCCAATAGCATTTCCTCATCTGAGCATCTCTAGGCAAACTCAATGGTTTTGGTTGAAGTTTTATACTCATTGGCACCAGCTAAGGCAGGGGCCAGGTGCACATAAGTGTGTGTGTGGCTCATTTGAATGACCCCACCATTAAGAATGGGAAAGATGCTCAGAAGGTGACCTACTAGGAGCAATCCCCGTGCTTTTTGTCCAGCAAATTTTGCCCTTGGTTCTCATGAAGGTAGGTTTGCCTGGCTGTATCCAGCATCTTATGCCTCTGGGTGAGGCAGGCAGATTTGGAGTCTTTCTCCTTGTGAGGGCATGGAGTAGTGAGAAACAAGAAATTCAGATGGGGAGAATGAGCATCAATTTAAAGATTAAAAAAATGACTGAAGCTTGTTTCCATGAGCTTCCGCAAACAGGGAGGGCTCATTTAGCTACCTTCTGAGCAGATTTTAGCCACACGGACACCGGCGCACACTCTTCATTAAGGTCTTGTGAAGATCACAACCAAATTCCCCTCCCTGCCTCAGCCAGCCTGGGAGCAGTCAGGGTGGGCCTCTCTCCACTGCTGTATCTGGAAGAATGACATTTTCGCACGTTTTGATAACCACATTTTCCATCCTAAAATTACACTGGTTTCTGGCTTGCTACTGGGACTCAGGTCAGGGAAAGGAGAATACAGTTTTCAGCCTGCACCTTAGCAACATGAGCTGTTAACCCTGCCTACCCCAGAGGACCATTTTGGCAGGCAGTGGGAATACCCAAGGGAAGAACATGCCCCAGGCAGCTGGTCGTACCGACCCTTCCATGCTGAGCTCTTGGCTGCAAGAATGGGCAGCTACAGCCCCCCGAGTAGGTCTCGTGTGTGTTACCAGACAGACTTTAAGAGGAAAGAGCAAACTGAACCAAAGACGCTGGTGCCCAGGGTGGCTTTGCACCCTTGCAAGAAGATGGCACTGTACCTTTCTTGCAAGACTCTTGCTCTGCTGGGTGAGACTCCCACCCTCCCAGGCTGCCCAAGCTCTCCAAGAGGTGAAAGGACCACGTGCTCCTGTGCAACCCTCCCTCGCCAACTCTCAGTATCTCTGTTCAGCAGGTAGCAAGGCCCTCGGGACAGCCCTGCCCCCATTATCACCAGGGAGACTCAGATCACTGAATATATGTGTGTGATCAACCACTGGCCACACTGGTGGCTCACTTTTTTTTCCCATATAACTTAACCTCTCGTTCCACCGAACAGAGAAACTGTATGGAAATCCTTGGCATCTGATGCGTGGCCTGATATTCTTTTGCCCACTAAATGCTCTCCAGGAACCTTTCTCATCCTTTTGCTTCTTCTCCTCCTCTCTTTACATCACTGTCTCTCTTTCTTCTTCAACAAGTACTGTGGGTCTGTCTCCATCATAAAGCCCAGAGCCATTCAGGTACTCCTCGTCTTTGTTGTACTGCTCTGGTCCAGAAGAAGGCATGGAGTTTTCAGAAATAGAGCCATTTTTTACATAACCTGGTAAATTCCGGTGTCCATTGAGGGTCCCTGGTATAAGTCTTGTATTGAGATGGAGGGCAAGTGCCCCTCTCGTGGCTACATTTGTGATGCTGGTGTGGGAAACCATTGGTCCATAACTGTAGGTTGTGCTCCCACTTCGTGCTTTCCTTTTGAAGTCAAGTGCTAATGTCCACCTGCTCCATGACTTCTTTATTTCTGCTTGGACCTGAGAGAAGAGGGGAAAAAAAAAAACATGAGTGAAAGGAGACAGAGGGCGATCAGCAGGATGTATTATCCACAAGGGTGGAGAAATCTTTGGAGGGTAAAATTGGAAGGAACATCTTGTGTTTATGCTGCAGGACGTAAGAAACATATCTGTAGTTGCATTTCCCCTTAAAATCCATAAGCTTAGGCCCAACAAAACTTATGTTGGACCATGAAAGTAATTCTGTTCTTCGCACTGTGCATTCACTGACCACCTAGATTGTTAGCATCCAGCCACAGAGGGGATTACAGGGAACAAAGACAGCTCAAAAGCAATCTTAAAATTAAAGCATGTCACTTGAAACAGAATAAAAGGGTCAACAAAGCTTGGCCTAACAAAAGAGCTTGCTGCTTAGACAGCTATTCTATCAATCCCCTTTTATTTCTGCCACCGATCAGATATTAGGCAGCACAAAACAGCACTTGTGCTGGGAAAAGGAAAAAAAAAAGCACATTTTTTCCCCCCATTAGCTACTTCCAGTAGCTCATTTATTGATGACAGATTGATCTGTATGTCTTACATGACCAAAATGAGTGTACAAACTTTCTGTGTGCATGGACAGATCTTTCAGCGAGTGAAAAACAGGGTTGCATCTCTAGACTAAGAGGGGATACACTGATGTGCATCCACCTTACCATCTGCATTTGGAATTAGTTTAATAAAGGTGAGACATAATTAAGAAGCTGATGACTCTTACCTCTCCATTGCAAAAACAGTATATGATGGCAACAAAAAATCCCTAGAAGAAAGAAGAAATAACACATTAATATTAATCTGGCAGCAGCTGAGTATCTATACCCCGGTGGGGTTGCCCAGCATCCTCGTGTTTCTCTGAAATCAGTGATGTTTATAACTTGCTTTATATGATATGGATAGGAAACATTGCTCTGTTTAGTAGTGCGTGAGGGACAGATTAACGTAGCCATTTTTTACAGACAATTCACAAAGTAAATGGACTATATAAACTCTCTGGATCATGCTCGACCTAACACATCCATTCCCCTGCCCTGATCTTTTGCAAAGTTCCTAAAACAGAGATGAGTGCCTGGGAAGGTGGTGGGGTCTCACTCACTAGAGGTATTTAGGAACATATTGGATAAACTTTTCCATTGCTTTACATGCAGCTGATCTTGCTGCTGGACAGGAGATGGCCCCAATGGGACTCTTTCAGCCCTGGTTTCAAGTGGGGCAGCCTGTACGTTGGGCAGAACTGGCTGAGGGGGAGCGGCAAAACCAGTCAGATGTGAGAAAACCATCCACATCTTTTTTGTTGGTCAATAGTTCGGCCAGATCTTGGTGAAGGAACCTGCTATTTGTTCCCTTCTGAGCCCAGCAGGAATTGTGGAAGTGCATGGATGCAAGCTTTGTCCCCACCCGCCATACAATTTCATCTGGCAGACCCACTGTCCCCCTCCATCATCCACACTAGTTGACCATGATGATAGGTAGTTGCACGTGAGCCAAAAGTTAATCTCTGAGGGAAGAGTGGGCAGTGGCTAAAAAACACTGCTCTGCTTGTAGAGCTTTGCTTATTCTTGCTGTTGTGCCTTATACAGGAGCAGTCCTATAACTGAATTTGCCTTTTACCCAAACCTTGAACTGAGGAATCCATTCACAGGGCTGAGAGACAGCTTGGGATAAGCTAATTGGAAGCTAATTTGAAACAACATGTCTCTGTGGATCTCTACCAGCTTATGTCTATCCTGGATCTACACAGATTTTGTGGGGCAAGGTATCTTTCAACAGGCTTTTTTTTTTTTTTTTTTTTTTTTTTTCCACACACTGATCCTTTTTGCACTGTATTTTGCAAATATAAAACATACTTGTTGCTAAAATACTGTCAAATCACCTTGTGAATGAAATCTGACATGCTGTGAACACAACCCTGTTTCCAAAGAGGACACCTTGCACTCTCCTTTCCCTCCCCCCTCTGTTTAAATTCTTGTAGTTTGTCCCCATAGTTTAATGATTACAATACCTGGAAAGAGTTGAACAGCATTTCATAGTGCATTTGAACTTGCCAAAGAATCCCTGACACATCTGTGTATGGCATAGCCATGAAAACAATATAGTGAACGCCAAAGAGAGGCATAAGGACGAGGGTAGATTTCAGCAGCTTCCTGCAGGAACAAGGAAAGAGAAGACACAGAGGAAGTCAGTGGATGGAGTGAAACTCCCAGCCAGGCTGGTCCACCTCATACCTTGGGTGTCTATCATGCATAATTTTATTATGGCTCAACATGCCCCCTTTACTAGTCCTGGAGAGCTTACATTTACACAGGCTCTATGTCCACCCACAGTTTCAAGCCATTTATTCTCGTATGGCATGAGACACAACCCAATCCATCCCTCAGCATGTCGTGATATGCTAATCTAACCCTCTTCACATGCACGTCCCCATGAGATGCTGCTGTAGGTACTGGAGGTAAAGACACCAAGACTTCTTTCTCAGCCTCAGACCATCCACTATTCTCGGTCAGGAACATGGGAACAAGATGGAAGAGTGACTGGAAAGAAATATCCACTGCTGCTTCCAGGTCTCAGCCTCTAAATTCCCTTGCCTCTAAAAGGTGATTCTGCTTCTGAATTTAAAGACTGGAAATGGTCCTAGACAGCCTACTCCAGCTGGCCTTGTTGGAGCAGAGGGACTGGACCAGATGATTTCCAGGGAGTCCGTCTCACCACAAAATTTCTGTAATTCTGCAGTTCTCTCTTCTTTTTGAGGCAAAGATCCACCAAGGGTTAGTGCCTTCTGTGGAGCAGTGGAGAGGGAATTGCAGAATTATGCTAGATACCAAAGGGAAGTGGATGTCATAGTACGGGGTAAGCTGGGGGTCACCAATCCTAGGAGGCGTTTTGGACTGCAGCATCCCCTGGAAAGCCCTGTTTGAAGGAGAAGCTCCATCTCAGCACAAGACCTATGTCAGGGGGTAGGAGGGAGGTAAAATGAAGCCCTGAGTGCTTGGCTGGGTTTGCTCCTGAGGGATCCAGCTTTGCCTGGAAGTGATGCTAATTGAAGGATTAAACCCGCTGCCAAGAGTTACAGCAAGTCACCAAGTGCAGGCAGTTATTGAGAAGGACGGACATCACTACCAGAAAGACCTGGTACCACCTCTGTCCAGCAACTGGAAACCACTGAGGGAATTTAGAACATTAAAAGGAGCAGGCCCCATCCAAACCATAATTAATAGCAAGCTTCAGCCAGGGATAAATAAATAAATAGATAAATCAGAGCCCTGACAGGGCAGCAAAGGAAAACGGAGAGGTGTTTTCCAGCCAAATATCGTTCCTGATTCAAATGAAACATCTTGTGTTTGGAGAGTGTGATGGTAGCAATGAGCTCATGGTTTGCAGCCCAAATTGCCCTGTTCTTCCCCCCTGCATGTGTCCTGCCGGTGAGTCCAGCCGAAGGGATTCGGAGAAGCCTTGGGAGCCCTCGAGCAGCCAAGGTGTCTCAGCAATCTGCTTTTTCTGTCCAGCTTTGACCATACTACAAATACCCTAAATTATCAAGAGAGAATTGCTGGCAGAACAAAGGAAAACAAAACAAACAAGGAAAGGCCAGATTTCCAGCAAAGTTTCAGGAATCTTTTTTTTTATTATTTATTTTTATTTTTTTTTTTGTTTCAGCAAAAGCACTGGAGCACCCACTGAAGGGCAGATTTAACAAATAGACCAAGTTTTACAAAGCACAGGAGGGAAATAAACAGAAATAAATAAAATTGTACAAGGTTTAGGGGCTTCAACAGCACAAGCAACGCTTTTATTTTTGCACTGTTGGTTCAAGGCCAGCACAGTCACTTCCTAACTGGCTGGAGGAACTGAGCTCCTCTCTTTACTATGAGGCAGGTCCCTGGGGTTGGATTGGAGAGGTTTAGGGGAGGTTTAATCGGCTGCTGATTTATTCTGCATTATCAGGCTTAGAAGATGGTGTTCTTCTCACCTTTTTTTAAGTGTCTACAGGGTGGGTATTTTCAGCTGAACCACTCACCCTGGGCTCCCTCTGCAGTCAAAGAGAGAAAGGGAGACTTTGACTTCTCCCCGAACCGAGGAGGGTTCGTGACTCACCTGTACTGTTGTCTTGAGTCACACCTCCCTGCATTTGTCTCCCGTAGCTTGGTTGCTAGGACTCTGATAATATTGATAAAAAGAATAAAATTTACCTGGAAGAGGGAAAAACAACAACAATTAATAACTGTTAAAGGAGATGCAGCTGATGTTCACGTTGCTCAGGCTGTGCTTCCCCCAAGGTGAGTCAAGGGGCTTGTGTCTGAGCTGGAAGTGCTCCTCCTGTAGCAGGGATGAGCTCCCCTGGGAAAACCCAGTGAATGGTGTGATTACACCAGCCTTGTTTAACCAGAATGGTTGAGAGAGAAGGGAATGGCATCCTCTGGGAAGGGTAGGCATCCCAAATGGGAACACTGACACCTGAGCTAGCCAGCCTGGGCTGCCTTGTGCATGAGTCTCTTATTGAAAAATGAGATAGGGAGAGACTGAAAGACAGCGAGGAGGTGGTGAGTAGACACCTGACAAGTGGATATAATCTCAGTATTCAAGGCAGTGATTACCAGACATTTCAAGGTTTGGACCGCAGTCAGCTCTCAGTGTTTTTCACATCATCTTTATTACTTGGCTTACAGCTCTGTACAGTGATATGGGCCATTTTCATGGCCTCATAAACCTCTTAAGCTGAGTTTGGGGTCCAGGGAGCAGAGTGAAATTCAATTATATTGTCCCTTGCAGCCAACCTGATGTTAAGGTCCCCTCAGGCTACAAGAAGAGATTAGTAAGATGATTTTACATATTTCCAGGTGCAAAAGGAAAGAAGAACAAGCAACCTGCATCACAAAGAAAACACAGAGTAGACACAGCTAGATATGACAGGTCAAGAACATAGAAGGGTAAAATAACTAAAACTCCTGTTGTACGTCTACAATACAAGTTCTCCAGAGGAGGTTGTGGTGTGGACCAGACAGTAGGGACAGCAACAACAGACAGAAAAAAATATCTTCTTGCTGTACAGGGAGCCATATCTGTGAACCCAGTTGCTGAACTAAGCTCACCCAGTCCTACAGGAACATGCCCATGGTGAGGGATGCTGCAAGAGGTAACAATACCTCATGGTTACACTGATACTTATCAGAGCTGAGAAATGGGGAGGTGTTTGGGGGATTCCTGGGATTTTGAATGTCCTTATGAATGGCTTATAACCCTAGCTGCCCCCGACAAACCTATTCTCAAGGACATGGTGAAACTACGAGAAGGCTGCACACTGCTGGGCTAATGCTGATGTCTATGGGTTTGCAGCAGTCATTTGACTTCTCAGATACCAGTGTAGCAGCATTTCAAGGAAACAAATTACCACGCCACACACAGCCTCGTAGTTTTACACCAGAAGGGACCATTAGGAACCTCTAGTTTGATCTCCTGCAAAGCACAGTCCATAAGACCTCCTTGTATTCATTTTGGTTTGAGCTACAGCAGATCTGGGTTTCAGTGTTTCCATGACGGAGATCCTACCACAACCATTGCTAAGTCGTTCCAATGGTTAATTATCCCCACTGTTAAAACAAGTAGCTCCCTGAGCAGCTGAACGTACACGGCCTGGTTTGCTATGGCTTTGTCTTCTGTGGTTGGATTCTTTCTCCTTTAACGAGGTGCAAGTTCGTTTCGAACAGCTCTCCTCTGTGTTAAAAAGGGGTAAGGTCACACTACGCCCTTTCCAGTGAAGGGGCATTGGTAGAATTTTCTCTCCAGTATCTATTTGACTGTTTTCATGAGGTCTGTGGGATTTTAACATCTATGCAACTCCATTCCCTTAGTTACATTTGGTTGGAATTTACTGACTGGCACAAGAGTTGTAAGGGAGGGATGGATAGACCGACAGGCAGAGAAGCACACAGCCTGGGGCATATAACTCATTTTCATTGGAAACCAATGTTAGAAAAAGGAATTAAAAAAAAAAAAAAAAAAAAAAAAAGCAGGCTTTTTTTTCTCATATGAGTTTTTCTAGCTTCAAAGTCTCAACTGTGGTATCTTCTTCTACATTTGTCTACTAAATTGAAGGTATCCAACCTTATCATAGTGAGGAGGGAAACTCCTGTGACTTTCCTGAAACATGTGCTAAGGTTTAAAAGAAATCCAGACAACTGAATAAAATCAGTTAGTAACATAGTGGAGGGATTTTAAGCCCCTCAGCCTTCAAATTCTCTGCAAGTACATCCAGAAAATGCATAACTTAGTCCAGCAACATATGACCAGCCAGTGTGGGAATTGAAAAGGCAGCCAAGTGAACAATATGAACCCACAGAAATTAAACAGAAACAACCCACAGAATATTTTTGCATGATAAATAGCTGCATTTGCAAATAGCCAAGGTACAAGCAGAGCAGAGCCTCATGGAGAAACATTATTTTTACAAGGGCAAGCCTCAATTGAGCTCTTTCTCCTCTGCTAATTGGGCTTTAAATTAAATGCAATGGGGTTGCTGGCATTCATCTCATTGAACTATCTGAACTTTCTTCTCCATCCTACTATTTTGTTTCCAATGACCACACTGTGGGCTTGGTGATTCGTTTCTTCCAAGGTACAGAATTGATTACTAGGGCCAGGTGGAGAATTTCCACCAAAAGGAAACTCTGAAGAAGAAAAAAACCCATCAAATCCAAAGTAGCTCACCTAATCACACATATGATCACATTTACCTCAGAAACTTTCCTGGTGTTTATATGCAGATGGACTGACTTTCTTCTCACCCACACTGATCATCTTCCAAGGCCTCCTGATTTGTGAGTCAGTGCAAAGTACACAGAGCTTAATGCAAAACCCTCTGAAGACTATAAAGAGATTCTTACTGACTCCGCTCAGCTACTCATGGATGTACATAATGGGGAGCTAGGATATGTGGGTGGGGAAAAGCTCTTTTACTTGCACTTACCCAACTATCAGAAGATGGAATAATGGAGAACCATAGGGAAAGACAGAAGGAGGAACAAGGGTAATGACTGAAAACTGTGAAAGCAACTTCTCAAGCTAATTAGGACCCTGTTCAAGCAAACACATGACCCACCAAATGCCCCTGATGATCTTAATAACAGTGCTTCCCAATGCAGATGCATGGTAAGAATGTGTTAAGACCCCTGGGGGTTTTCAGTATCGCATGGGTCATCAATATTATATTGAATATTTGTTTCGCTAATGATTTTAGGGTCTTAGGTTGTGCCATCCTTCTCTCCTAAGCAAAACAAAACTGCACATAACTCCATGGCTGTATACACCTATTGAACTTATAGACAGGTCAAAAATAAGGCCCTTAAACTGGAGATGCTCAGACTCCACACCTAAGGCAGGAGCTGTGCTAAGAAGGTAATTAGAGCAGGGTAGCCTGGCCCCACTCTCTGCACTGCGCCTGTACCATCAAACGCAGCCTCCCACCAGTTGCAGTCAGCCAGTACTCACCACGATAGCTGCCAGGATGGGCACCTGAATAATCCATTTTAAATTGCCAGCACTCAAGTCCCAACACCTGAGAAGAGATTGAGATCCCATTAGGAAATCATTGGTTACGAGGAGCAACAGACTCGCTGTCTCCTTGGGTAAATCCACCCTCGAAGGATGGGATTCCTCCAAAGCCTGCTGGGTTGGAAAGACCTTGATCTAACCTTGCTTTCAGCCCTCATGGCTCCAAAGGAGCCCTTTTCCCTGCTGTTACACCATTCAGAAGTGAAACCCCTGCTAAATGCATTTAAAGTTATGCTCTCCAGATGGTGGAACAGCTCTTTCCACAGTCATCAAGACCTGTCCCTTCTGGGCAGGAACCCACCCTTTTCCACTTCTTCTTCATCTCTTTAAGAGAAAAAACTACACAAAAAGTATTCTGGTTTTCATGAAAACAAGAGAGGCTGTGCTGGGTTTTGCACTGGCTGAAATAGTTTAATGCTACCCCTTGGAATAAGCCTGCACAACTTTGCCTGGGGATCAGTTCTGTCCGAGTACGTGGTAGTATGGATAATTCTGTTTTTCTGCATTCAGATCCTGTGCTTCCTTCATCCCTGCAGTCACACCAAGACCCAGACATGCCCCATAAAAGCCTTTATCTTCTTTTCATCTCCAGCCCTTATCCGAGTGAGGACTGAAAGGGGAAACTGTTGGTGGCATGGATGTTCATCTATGGTCCTCCATCTGCTGATGAGGGGCTGGACGCTATTTCCTCCCAGGCATTTCCAGCAGCCATGGAATAAGGTCACTCAGTGTTAATTACTCTCTTTGAATTCTCTCCAACCACAGAGAGAGGACTGCCACAGGCCTTTCTTTATCTGAGCCAGACAGCCCCCACATGGCAGCTGCAGTTTTCATTTCGTGGGCCAAACTGCCCAGGCAACTCTTCAAGGAAAGCGAGACAGGGGCAGAGAAACCACCAGTGCTGACTGAAGGGCTGTACGAGGATGAGCCTGAGCCAATGCAGATGCGTCATCCTCCACTAGCTGTGCTACCAGGTCCTTCTGAGCCCTGGAGCTTGGCTTTCTCCCCTTTGCAAAGCAGTCTCTTCCTAAGCAAAGTCATTGGAAAGGTTGCCTGGGACCCCCAATTTTTTGATGGCACATTGTGTGTAGGAGAAACCTGCCTTGTGGTCAACGTTGGGATGTTTGGGGGCAAACACGGTTGTGTTAGGGCTTGAAGATTTGATGCTTGTGGATGCTTCCTTCAGCTTGATGCAAGAATAGTAGGCCTCAGGGTGTTTGTATAGGACCAAAGAAACAGCTGATTCGGCATCCTATTTCTACAGTAGCCAGAAAGTGATATTTAAGGAGAAACAGACAAGGAGGTAGTAACATTTTTCCAGAATATTCTTCCAACAATCTGCAGTTCAGGAGGGGTTCCTGAGCCAGAACATTACTATTTAATACGTCTGGAAGAATTTATCTCTCATGAGTTTGTACAAATGTTTTTTAGTCCTAAGGACATGCTGGCACCCACACTTCGTGCAGCGAGGAGTTTCTGCTTCACCCCTCCTCAGTGTGGAGGCATCTCCTGTGACTGTGCTGAACCTGCTACCCCCAGCTTCATGCAGGGCTTTCCAGCTCTGCTACTGGAAGAAGCAGGGAATGACTGATCTCTACCCATGCTCTGCAGGGCATTCTTTCATGATTCAAGCCATTCCTGCCCCTGCCTGGCTGTAAAACATCTCCTTCAGCCCCAGGGATAACAGCTGTAGGAGTTCACATTATTAATTTCTTTAAAATGAAAGTAAAGCCAGGAAAGTTGCACCCATTTTAACCTTCACCCCCAACAGATAAAAAAAAAGAGAGAAGAGAAGAGAAGAGAAGAGAAGAGAAGAGAAGAGAAGAGAAGAGAAGAGAAGAGAAGAGAAGAGAAGAAGAGAAGAAGAAGAGAAGAGAAGAGAAGAGAAGAGAAGAGAAGAGAAGAGAAAGAGAAAGAGACAGAGAAGAGAAGAGAAGAGAAGAGAAGAGAAGAGAAGAGAAGAGTTGCTAATTTCATAGTAGGAAGTGATTCTGGCTTTCTCTGGTTCTTTTTATCCTTGTGATACACCCACAAAGTCACCTCACAAAGGCATCACAGGTGAAAGAAAGAAAAGGAAACCCAACAGGACTTACTCTGTGTCGGCTAGAGTGGCTCTCACGCTGGCCCACGCTGTAACAAATACAGCAGGGAGACCTGCAAAGAAACACAGATCAATGGGGTGAGCAGGGGAATTAGAGGACTCTGATAGCATAAGCCACTTTGGAAAAGGATAGGGGAAGGTGGAAGAAGGAGTTTTTAAATATTCAAGCATAATTTGGACCATTAAAGCCATTTGGACCATTAAAGCATTTGGACCATTAAATCTTGTACTTTTTATCTCTTCTGTGGTTCAAGCACTGTAATGGTAAACCAAGGCTGGGAAGGGAGAATTTTATGGAGGCCAAATGGCATGGCCTGGACAAGTCCACCCTACTAAAGTCTCCTGGTTTTCAAAATGGAGCAACGTGCTTTGCTTAAGCTTAAGCTATATTCTAAGCCATGCCTGGAGACGCCCCGTTGATCTGGGGTCAATGGACCCAACGTGAGTCATGGATTTAGGACAAATGGTCACATTCCTGTACCTAAGTTATGGCATTGCTGTATGGGGACATAGCCTGTATGGCCTGAACCTGTGTGACCGCTGCTTGCTCTACATAAATGATTCAACTCAAGGCAGAGATAGGGTTTGTATAGTGCATCTTTCCCAACATATTTGTTCCTTTCCTTTGGATTCAGGGAATGGTGGACCTAGAATTGGGCTCAGACTGTACCACCCTGAAAATGGCCTTGAGTATGCCAGAAAGTTGCATTGAATCCAGAACACCTTGGTGGCAGCAACGAAACAGGGTCTGGGCATGCCTTTTGCAACTTTCCATGTTCACACATTGTTTAACTGTCAGGTAGCTCCCAACCATCTCAGAAACCCCTCTTCGTGGTTCAAGCCATCCATTTTGGGGAGAGAAGTGGTGTGGAAGGAGAGCAAAGCTGTATAAGTGTAAGCTGTGCCATCACCCCAGTTGGCCTCTAGGCTGGGAAAACAAATTCTGACCCATTTAATTTACAGGAATTGATGTGGCATGTAGATTGAACTCACCCATGGGCCTTAACCAAGCCCCTGAAAGAACTGCACTGCCCTATGCCCTATGTACACCACTGATATTTTTTAAGAGGCGCCAAGGCAGTGCCTGGCTGATATTTTGGCTAGAGCAGTAAGAAGTAGCAATGAGCTGAAGGAGGGGATTTTGGAGGGAAAAATTAATGTCTTTTTTTTTTTTTTTTTTTTGGAATGAAAGGTCAAGGGCTCTTTCATAGGTCCTAACTCTCTACAAATTTTTCTTTACTCCATTTTGATTTTTTCTGGCCTGGATGGATAAAAAACTCTGTTAAGTGTGAGAAACTTGCTGCATGAAGCAGACAAATGCTGGAATTCAGCGTAATACTTGCAAAATGCTCTAGCCCAAGGTTCACTCCCAAAGGAACCATCCTCATTTCAGCACAGTTACACTGGGCATCGTCTTTTCCCTGCAAAAAGTAAGAGAATCACCAATATCCAAATGCAATCTTCTATTTATTTTTTTAGGGTCCAGTTCTGCTTTATTTGTACAACTGAGTCCCCTACTGGCTTCCCTTAAAAGGCAGGATCAAATCCACAGTAGCTTCCACAAATTCCAGAAGAATAACCCCTTTCAGGTGAAAAAAAAAAAATTAAAAAATAAATAAAGGCGACATTTATCACCGATGACTGTAAATATGCTGTTCACAGTCTAAGCTCATTGGGGCTCGGCGTGCATAAGCACACGCTTAACTTTCAGCATGCACTTAAGTCTCATTAGAGTGCTTAAAGGCTTTCCTGACCACGGACGCTTTCCTGAGCTGGGGTGTGGGGCAGGGACGCCTGTCTCGTACACACATGGACAACGGGGCCGTTATCTTGCTTGGAACCTTTAAATGCCACGGTAATATAAGAAAGCATAAATAATTAAACACAGAGCCTCACTCAGGACCAGCACTGCCTACAAAGATACATTTATAAGGAATGCACCCTGCTTCACAATCCCCTGCAATGGCTGGCACTGGATAGAAAATACTTAACCTATTGCACCGGGAGCCCATGAGCGTGCTGAAGCTGAGGGCTTGGGGAAGGTGATGATTTATTGCAACAAGCACCATCTATATCCTTCCCACTGCTAATCACCCATCTATGAAAAATACGTGCGTGCTGCGAACGACTGGCAGAGCTACCCGAGGCTCAGATGCTGTAACTACTGATAGCAGCACTCACATTCCCCTTTACACCCTCTGCCTTCAGAGGCTCGGGTGCCTGCTGCCTGCCCATAGGCGCTGGATGTTCACCCGTTATGGTGAAGCTGTAATTTTGAAAGATGGATTGTTTCAGAGATTTGGATGCGTTAGACACATACTTGTTCCTCGCTAGCCTGTCCTGTATTTCAGAAAAGACACCATTCCCATTCCTATTAATGCTGTGTTGTGTTAAAGGTTCCTAGCAACAATAACACATAGAGGAGAAAATAATTATATCTATGCATGTATTTATTCTGCAACTGCCACCTCACTCTGTGCAGGCAAGCTTAGGAAAAGGATCCTTGACATTTTCTGCAAAACACACAAAATGAATTCCTGGCACCAGTTTTATTGCTACGTTTGTCTTTCTGTCTCTCTAGCGTGCTTCTTCTTTTCAGTGTGAACAGTCATAAATATTCTTAAATTTACGGAACGTGGAATGAATCCTCCCCCTCCCCTTTCCTCTGCCCCATTTTTAGATTCTCCCTCCATCAATGCAACATGCAGAGCTTGGGCCTCCAGGTGATTTTTGGAATTCAGCTTTTTCCTCCCCCTCTGGTAAACCAGTCTGTGGAAGGCAGGGTCAGGAGGCTTAACGTTCCCTCCAGCATCTCTTTTACTTTCAGAGGGTGATGACTGGCTTTTTGGTGTCTCCACGTGAAAGTGATGCCCTGAGATGGACAATACTACTGCTGAGCACTCACAGCAACCATTGATGGGAGAGCCATTAACCAAAAAACCTCAAAGTTAGACACGTAAAGATACAAACAGGCAGATGCCCGAGAGGATGCAGCTCCTCTTGTGATTAAATGCATCTGGCCAACCTGCCAGAAAAAGAAAAGCGAGCCTCCAAAAAATCCCATGACCTCCTAGGTGGTTGTGTGTGCAGAGGGGTGCGGGTGCAGGTGGGCGCGTGCTCGTCCTCCCCCAAACGGTGTGCGCAAAACCAGCGTGATGCAGGACGAACCCCGCGGGGCGGCGATGCCGTGAGCGACTTCTACAGAATCCACATTGTATGCGCTGTGCATTTCCAGTCGTTACACACAGTGTGTACAATGCAGGTGCTATAAAGTCAGGCGTGGAAAGGGAGGTGGTGAAGTCGCCATCCCCGGGGGTGTTTAAAAGCCGTGCGGGTGTGCTGCCTAGGGACGTGGTTTGGTGGCGGGGTTGGGAATGGTTGGACTTGATGATTTTAAGGGTCTTCAACCAAAATGATTCTATGGTCCTGTCATCACCCTATCAGACAGCAAAAGTCTCAAGCTGCACAAATTCTGGTGTCCATCCCAGCCCCTGCTCTGCTCTGCCACCTTCCTTGCACACGTGTCCTGGCACGTGGAGAAGTGCCGTTTGTGCATGTGTCAAAGCTGTGAGTTAGAGAGGCAGTTGCAAAGCGCCTGCTAGGAGAAGAAAGCTCATGAATAAAGACCTTATGTAGGGCTGGAGAAATCTGGTCTCCGTTCCCTGCTATTTGAACACCTCTGAGTTTACAGGGAGTGTTTTTTCAGCCCCTCTCTGTCACAGTTTCCTCGTATCAAATGGGACCAATAACACTTACATACACCTCTTGCCCTGTTAGGTAGGAATGCTTTCAGGCAAGGATGATTTCTGCATAGATTACCACGCGGGGCTTCCCATCACGGGTTTTTGGACCTGAGACACCTCTGACAATAACACGTGGATCTGTTTGTCTCGTTCAGGTCTCCCTGCAATGCTCATTTGCACCGTAGCTGAAAGCCAGTGCGGTCCAGCCGGGGGAATTAACGCGGTGTGAAGGAAAAATGCCAGTGGAATCAGCTTGGGTTTTCTGGCTATTGGTCATGCTTCTTAGACTTCCTTCATAAAACAGCTGCAAGGAACTTGAAGTCTGCTGGGGAATTTATTGTTGCCCATAATACCATTATTTATTTATTTTTGTTGGGTGCTGGCAAGGAACAAGTTCCTGTCTGTCATCGGTGCCTCCTCTGCAACTGCAAGAAGGGCGCTGCGGACTTGCACGGAGCCCTGCTCCTTTGTGCCAGTGAGGATGTGGACTGAAAAAACAGCCGAAATCTTTGGGTCTGACATCAGAATAACTGTATGTACTGGTTTCCGCTGGAAATAAGCTGCTGCAGGATGACTTTTGCTTCCCCCACGTTGGAAATTTCCAGGCAGGATAAATCCTCCCTTGTTTATTGTTACACAAGTAAAAAATAAATAAAAAAAAAATAAAAAAATCCCAGCTTTTGGGGCAAATGTCTTTTCTCTACCTATGTGGAATGTCATAATTATTTATCACTGATTCCCTGTCATTCATTGCTGTGGTATGGGCAGGATCCAGTGCCCACTGCAGGGAACTGGAGTTTTTCCACTGACTCCAGTGGGTCTTGGATTGGGTTGCCCTTTCCAGTGCCCAAAAGCTATCAAAGCAATACGTCTGTTCGGGTGTGTGTGTGTACATTATCATGCTAATCAAAACAAAGCAAAAACAAATGCAACTGGAGGGATCCTATGTTCTCATTCCAGAGGAATTTAAATTAAGCAGCCTCAAACTTTTGGAAGCACACAGATGATTGGTGTTGTGACAGGTGTGACTTCAGCTTTGTGGTTGCTCTGATAAAATGATTATACTCTGGCAGCGGTTGGAAGAATTAATGAGAGGAACCCATGCCTGTTAGACTGTTTTCCTTTGGCTGCATTACGAGCAGCATCAAGTTGGTTTTTCTTGTTAAACATATGGCATTATTTTTCAGCTGCTTCTCTCTCTTCCAGGATTTGCTCTGGGGAATTGCTTCCTGAAGTCTGCTCCATACAGCGCAGTGCCATTTTCTGAGGAGCACATTTTATGTAGCTTGAAACTTTGGAAGAGGGTGTGGATTTTTGCTTGTTGATTTATTTTATTTTATTTTTTTTTGCTGGTTTGTTTTAAAGAGCTGATATCTAAATTCTTTTCTCTCACTGCAGCCGAGGTAACAAAGTCTCTGTCTCCAGAATATCTCTTTTTATTTATTTCCCCCCCAATCCTACTGGCTGGTGGGGACTTGACTCTACCTGAGAGATGGATGCCCACTTTGGGACTGACTTTACACCTCCTGTCCTTGTCACAGGGCAGCACCAGCAGTTTTTGTCCTGTGCCCCAGCTGAACATGAGGTTAGAAAGGAGCTTTTGGTCCCCTGCTGCCCCATAAGCAGAGTGTGGAAGGAAAAAAGCAGGAGAGAGTCCTGCAGGCTGGACTGCCCTGGACTGATGAATCACTTGCATGTTCTTACAAACAAAAAAAGTGCAATTCTCTATAAACTCACATTTACATTATCATCTGGCTTGCTTGGGGACACTGGCTATGTACAGTGGCAAAGCACGATAGTAGCCTGCCATCCATTTCCTGGAGCCCTAATATTTCTTCATGCGACATATCTAGACTTTCTATGTCCAAAGGCTTTTCCCAGACTGTGGGTACCTATGCCCTGGTTGTCCAAACCTTTGATTGTACCATGGGTCACTCAGCACCCAAAAACTTGTTTTTTTTTCTTCTGGAAGAAGACATGTCCTGGAATGGGGGTGGTGTGGTGCACTCATTAATCTTGCCCTAAAATGCAGTCAGGATGTGGCCAGGTGCATTTTGGACTTGGAAGCTGGGAAGAGCTCCTGGGCCATATGGTTTAGAGGTAACCATCGATGCCTCTAAGCAGGTTTTTCCTGCTGTAAGCTCCTTTGTAGACCTACACCCCATTATTCATAGTTACGTCCTTGAGGATCATCTAATATGTTTCCTGTTCTCCCTTCCAGTCCACATGCTTCAGACAACCGTGGGCAGTGTTTTTATTGTCCTCAGCCTACCAGCACCTCATAACGGCTTGCAAGCCAAAGCTGATGCCAGAAGTGAACAAAAAGCACATTCTCGTCTGAAATGCCTGTGCCCACAACGCCTCCCACTAATGAGCACCCCCTCTGCACCCACTTCCCCCCCCCTTTCTCTCTACTCCATGAAAAGATGCCTGGGTTAAAAGAAAAAAAAAAAAAAAAAAAAGGAAGAAATGGCTTTCCCACAAATTGCAGGCTTCTCGTGGTGTTCCAGCACTCGTGAAACCTCAGGAGCTTTTTACAGTGACTGAGATCAGAGGTAGGAAATCAGAGCTGAGGTCTGCCGTTGGGAGCAGATGCTCACAGCTTCACGCAACTTTCCACCCCCTCCAGCACCGTGCTGGGTACTCAGCGGGAGGCACTTGGCAGAGCTGGGGATAACTCAGGGAGTGCACTAACATCAGCTGGACTGAGCCTTCCAGAGGTCTGGGAAGTCAACACCACAATTTAGAAATGTTAAAAAACTTCACCACGCAGCACACCAGCCCTTGAAAAAGCCACCGTGTCCCTGATGCTCACTCTGCCTATGTTCCTTCCCCTGGGTCTACATTTTTTGCTTCAAAGACCACCTCCAATAACCTTCTGATGGGTCAGCCGTAAGGAGCAGCCATGACTTACCCCAGCCAAATAATGTGAATCCCCAAAGATACTTCTTCTCTGAGAAAAATGCCATGAAGATGAGGCTGTGGAGATAGAGCCCTTCCACCAGGATCCAGTAGTAATTGGTTGCCAGGAAGTAGAGGAAGAAGGTAACCGCTACTTTACAACCCACCTGCAACGACCACAGAAAGACGGGGTTATGCTAAAACACGGTGTGAAATTCCTGTTCTGTGTAAATCCACGATATTTGCCAAGATGGGTCGGGAAACGAGATGGAGAAAGGGAAAAAAGAGATCAGAAAGCTCTGTTGCAGGGCTTTTACATGGAGGGGAGTCAGTGCGAGAGCAGAAGAGATGAACAATTGGGAAGGAAGGTCCTAAGCCTGGCTTTATGTCTCCAACAGCAGGTGAGTGGGGAGAATTGGGCACAGGTGGGGAGGTGGTGACCTGAGACTCTCCCCCAACCCAGTGATGAGGGACTCGCCCGCTTTTTAGAGTTTCTGGGTTTCCCCTTTACCCCGTGTAGCCTTTAAAGCAGCTTGCAGAAAATATTAATTATATACATCTTGTAAATAAAAGAGGAATTTTTATTCCGTCCAGCTCTTATGCTAATCATTTGCCAATCATAATGGATATGGACAAATTATATATATATATGTACATGTATATATATAAACATGGACACATATGCATCTATTGTCTTTTACAGACAAAGTGAGATGGAATAGAATGAAGGTCAATTAAAAGAAATCCCCATCCAGGTTGAGCAATAACTTATATATTCACAAAAAATCATAATCTACCCGCACACAAAGAGTGGCAGGCAATAACTGGAAACAAGAGAAATAATTAATTGTTGCCTTCATCACTCGCTTGCCTTTCAACTCAGCAGAATGGGAAATGCTGTTTAATTGCTAATATTCAAATAATGTAATACATTATCCTAATTATTCCTAATAATGAGTCCACACCAAGGAAAACCAGAAAACAATGCCATGAAATACTTTGTGTTCTTTTCAAATAGGGAGTGCACTGAAGCGCGCTGAGCGCTCCAGCCAGAGACTTGCCAAATTAATTAAAAGGATCTCTTAAATGGGAAGAAAACATGATTGCAAATTTCCATCTGGGGAGACTCGGACACACAGAAGGGCACTTTGCATATGCTGATTTTATGCTTAGACATAACCCCTCTTGTTCGTAACCTGAAACAACATTTGGGGACGCGCCGGAGCAGAACGTAACTGGCCAAGTGAGTGCAAAGGGATCTGTGCAGTAAAAGCTGACCTTGGCCATTTCCAGAAGGGGTCCTAAGCTGGAGTCAACGGGCACAGCTCCCTGAAGGGGTCTGTGGCATGACAGCTGTCTTTGGACAGCAATCTAGGGATGTTTGCTGTGGGACAACTGCTGCGATTGCTGCCGCTGTATGAAACCCAGACAATAGGGGTGTTTGTGGCCAGTAGCACGGGCTGTGAAAGGCACTTAGGAAGCCAAGTTGAAGACACAGGAGAAAAGCTTGTGCTGTGGGCTGCAGTGCCACATTGCTAGAGCTGCTCTAGTGGCATGCTCAAACTAGCTTGGATTTCTTTTTTTTGGGGTGTGCATTGAAGTTAATCCTTGGTCTTAGGTAGTGAAAACCTTCCCCCTGTCTCTGTAGCACCCTGCAGTGTGTGGATGAGAAGCTGCCACATCTAGGCTCAGCCCTGGGAAATCTGTGATGAGGCCAGAGATGAGGAGAGCAGACAGCTTCAGCAGGTAGGGAGAACTTCAAAACCTGAGGGCAGGCTTCATCCCCACAGGGACACGGACAGTGCAGATGTCTCCATCTGAGCCTTCTGTGCCGTGATGAGACACAAGTACCTCCTGAGCCAAGTTCACCTGACCTTGCTTTAGTTTTCACTCTAGGATGTGGTGAATCATGCTCTTGACCACTGGCTGTGCTGACCAGAAACACCTTGAACCAAGGCTGTGCTCTGTTCTGGCTGCCAGTCTGATGGCACTGATGTTACAGCACAGCAGTGCCTCTGTGGCTTCCACAGAGAGGAGCTCCAGGTCAAAAATCAGTCACTGACCCATTGCAATAAAAACGTGTGATGGTTTAACACACCACCGAAAAAAGATGAGGCGTTGAATAGAAGGGACAGAGGCATGAGGTTTAGAGGGGCTGGCTGCTCTGGCAATACTCACAAACTGTGACTTGTCTGCTGGAGGTGCTTCAGTAATGGATTTCAGGTCTTCCTCAGAGATCCGCTCCATCTCCTCCAAAGCTGACCCAGAGTACAAGACCGCGTCCTTCACAAAGATGCTCATGGCTCTCAGCATGAAGGAGACAAACAGGTGCATGTGGATGTAGTTTCTAGTGCAGTGCAAACGCCTGGCGTGGAGGAAAGAGGGAAGGGATGGGGCAGTTTAGTCTCTCAGTTGGATATATTCAGGGTCCCCTCTGCTTCTGAAGATCCCCAGCTCCTCTCCTCAGCACCGTGCCACCTCTAGCAGCGCTGGTGCCACTGCTGCCCTGCACTCCCAGTTCACCCATGAGGCTGGTAAATGGTTTGAAGCCTACTCCAGGGGCTTGGCTGCTGCTGGCTCTGCATGAGGACGACACAGTACCTCTGCTAATTTAAGCTCCTCTGTTTCTGACTGAGAACTTTTGGCAAGAAATTAAGATGCATTTTGCTTGTATTGAGCCCGGGTAGTGAGCATGCCTGCAGTGAGGGGGGCATATGGCATGCAGTCCATGCTCAGGGTGTGCAAACCATGAGTGCAGCGTGTGTGCAACGAGGTTGCACCTGCAGGACACTGCGTGCACAGTGCACGTGCACCTGGAGGCAGCGGGACGTGCGTTCAGTACGAAGCACACGCACAGGGCGTGCACGTCTGAAATAAAGATGATTTTCCATGAATGCAGTGGGTGTGCAGTTCCTGTGCAGGGGGTGTGCGGTGAGCATGCACCCAGTGTGCAGCACACGTTCAGGGAAGGTACACTTCATGTGCTGTGCTCACGTGCACAGTGTTCAGTGCGTGGGCAATGAGCGTGCATCAGGCATGCAGCCACTTCCAACATGTGCAGACATCAGGCAGGATACGTGCACAGCACTCACTGATACTAAAGTGTGCATCTGCGTGTCCCTGTCACCAGTAAATCGATCCCTCCAAGAAATCCACCCTCCTTTTAGGGTTAAATCCTGCATTCAAAGACTTCACGCTTGTCTGCACTTCATGGGCTGCAAATAAAATGAGCTACAAAAGCTATGGAGCTTGTGGTCACTAAAAACCTTGCAGAGTTCCTCATAGCATAAACTGCTTATTTTTGTGCCCACTCCAAATTCCATCCTGGGGTTCATACCTGGACTGTGCTGGGCTTTTTCCTCTGTTTGCCATTACAGACACTATCCATTGCTTGGACATGTCAAGCAGTTTTGGGGCCCCAACCCAGCAATGGCTGTATTGCAGCTGCAGGTGAATGACCCCACAAATGCTGATTGTAAAGCGCTTTAAGGTCCTTTGGGGGGAAAAGCTGGATGGTAAGAGGTGAATTAGACCTACTTCTATGAGGTATGCTTTAGAAAATACAATCCTGCCTTTGGGGAGAAAGATGAGCTAACTGATATATTTGGAGTCCCTTTCCTGCCTCTGGTACCTGGTTAGCCATGAATAAATCAATGAAATGATTTATACCTTCTTAAATCCCCAGCTCTAATACAGAAATAAAAATACAAGTGCACAAATAAGATAAATAATAAATAAATAAAATAAATATATATTTTTCCCTCTCCTTTTGGGGAGCTTGTTGAAATAATAGCATCTGTTTCCTGTACTATTACAGTACAAATTAAGCCAAATGGAGCTGTTGAGGTGTAAATGAAGACGGGCTTTGCTCCCTGCATTTGGAATGCAGCCAGTGCATCTCTGGATTACGTATCATCTGGAATAAAGCCTGGCTTGGTCTCTGCTGCTGCTTTGATCCCTGGGACAAAGATGCTCCAGCACAATCAGCTGTCTAGCCTTGGCTGTGAGGTGCTCTGGCTGGGTGATGGAAGAGAGAGAATGCCTCCTGAAAGTAGGAGCACTCATGCATTTGGTATTTTAACAACCTTGCCAGTGTCCAGTGGGAAATGGAAGAAGGGGGAAGGTCTGAGAGGACAGGAATGTGGTGGCCTTTGTGGGACATGGTCATGTTTTGGGACTACACCATGCCAAGTGCCTCCAGGAGGGGTCTGCACTGGGATGCTCCACTATCCACACAAATCCTGCCATCCGCCTTTAGCTCACTGCTGAGAGATTTGGGCGGTGACAGAGCCAAAGGCCACACATTTTATTGCCAGTGGTATGTGTCCAGGGCTTAGCCTATGCTGGTGTGGTGGGAGCTGCAGGGTCCCTCTGCAGACACCACCTGGCTGTGTGCTGCGTGGGGAATTTCCCTTCACAGCTGCTGTCTGGGCACTGCTGTCTGCTCTGAGAAGTTACTGCCAGCACCCAAAGGGAGGCAAAACTTGTGGCCCTGGTCACTGGGGGCCAGGACCCTGCTCTACCTGCCTTTGGTGGCCCAAAGGACAAATTTCCAGCTGTGAACAAGATATTTCATCCTTCCCTTCCCACTTTGCAGCAAGAAGGAGCAAAAGCCAGCTCTGTGGGCTGGATGGTGCGAGTTCAAAATGGTATTTTGGGATCTATGCTCCTTGGATGATGAAGAGGGCGGGCAGAAAATGAGACTTAGATGGGCGAGTGGCCATTTCTATCTCCCTAGGGCCCTCCACATGACTTGTGTATGGCCGAGGTTCCCTTCAACCAGTCCCTCCTACATGAATATTTCAGATTAGAGTGGAATTCCCCCTGTGAAACCTCAGCCATCTAAAAATTAGCCGTCTATGTCTAAGCTAATCATCTGAAGGAGAATTTTAGGGACAGAAAACCCTAGAAGGTCTTCTAAGTCTTCTTAGAAGAAGACCTTCTAAGGTCTTCTCTTCTCCTGTCTTCCCGTTTGCTCTAAAGCTGGTCGAGAAAACTCCATTGCAGACAAGGGGAAGAAGTCCAGACATCCCTCCCCTCATCCCCCAAGAAGTTTGATCTAAGTGCCACTACCACAGCCCGAAGCACAGATGCAACCCTGCGTGGCTTGCTGAAGAAGCACACGCCACCCCGGTTTTATCCTTCGGGAAAGCCCGAGGCTTTTCCAGTCCAGCGACAACTCGCTTAGGTAAAAACAGAGCCGCCTACCTGAAGTATCCCAGGATAAGGACAGCAACTGTGAGGGATCCCAGAGAGATGGAGTATCCAACAGTATAAATCAAATAGAGGCGATCAAAGACCTCCTGCAGTACAAATGATGGAAAAAATAGCGTCACATTAGAACGCGTCCTCCTGCAGCGTAACACATCCATGGTAGCAGTACAGAGATTCAGGCTATCGTACCTGCTGGGGGTGTCCAGCTCTGGGTCTGGGAAACCTTGGGCAATCACACCTGTTGTTGTATTGGACATTAGGGCAGCTTGGAAAGGGGTATTCCTCTTTCCTAATGACCCGGGGGGAGCTGTGACTTTTGCAAGGGAATAGTGATGAAGATGGGCTGCTCCCACACCTGGGAGTTTTGCAGCATTTTCATCCCAAAGGAAACCAAAGCGCTTTACAAACTCTCAGCCAAATCCGGAGATCACTCGGCAATTTTTGCTTGAACAAATCGAACCTGGGACTTTTGCTGGAACAGCAAAATTTAGCCATAGGGCTATGCCATACCATTGCTGACTGACTGATGTCCAGGCTGTGGAGTGTCAACCCACCACAGAAAACATGGGGAGGGCATATTTTGGCTCAGGGATGTGAGAAGAACTCACATTTATTCATTTATTTTTTTACTTAAAAAAACAACAACAACAACAAGACACTATGACAATGGTTATCCAATCCAGACACACTTTTATCCAATAAAGACACAGCTTAAGTTTGCCAAAGTCCCATTGGAAAAGGTCCTGTCACAGGAGAACTCACAGCAATTAATCCTGCAGTAATTCTTATCTCTCTTGGCCCTCTATATTTTAGAGCTGGGTACAGAAACTTTGATCTATTCTTTGAGATATTGAGATGCTTTTCTTCATTTTGTAGCTGGGGTATGAAGCTTAACTTGGGGATTACTGAACTGATTGCTGCCTGGAAAGGGTTAAAAGGTCTGCCACCATCCTGGCTTGTATGCCTTTCATCGTCCAAACTTAGAAATAAACTCTGAAGAAACCAACCAATTCAGCATCTTTCTCCTTGCTCCCTCCTCCTCCAATCCCCCTCCTGCACCCCCCCCCCCCCATGTTTCCCTCACCCCACCCGCTGGGTTGCAATAAAATTCGTAACACTGAGCTCTGAATGACAGCTCTGATTTTGATTTGAGGCTAGAAATGCTGTCCTGGAATGCAAAACCTCAGCCCTATTACATCAGAATCCCCAGATATGTGAATGTTTCTTTGCGGTTTCCATTGGTAGAGTGGTGTGCTTGCCAATATTAATCTAGTGTGTATGTGTGTGCATGTATTTATATATATATTTTATATATATAAATATATATACAGGGGGGTAGTAGGCACTAAAAAGTGAATGTTAGTAGGCTAGAGAGTTTTAGGAAAAACTTTACTTTTGTTCCCTTCAAGGCCTGGTGCACATTTCCCACTGCCAGATTAGTATCTTTGAACTGGAAAACATTTGCCTCCATGGTGAAAGCTTTTTTTTTTTTTTTTTTTTTAAATTTTTTTTTTTTTTTTTTAAATCTTACTCTGAGTTTTGGATTCTTGGTAATTCTTTGGCAATTCTGAGGTGTTACTACGCCCAGCTGAACAAAAGCGTCCCTGAGACCCATTCAGAAATTGAACCGGAAAGATCCACGTTCCCATCAGACAACGACACCGTTGTAGCAGCGATGGCCTTGGGAAGGGCCTGCTGATTGGCTGGCAGGACATTTTCGGAGGCTGTGGTTAATTCCTCTCATTAACCACAGGGCCTCTTTTTGAAAGGATGTCGAGTCAGAACTGCCAAGACATACACATGCGTGCATGCATGCATGCTACTGGGCCTGTCTGCAGATGTAGGTGCTGCAAATCCTACCCAGTGCCACAGTGGGGATCCTTCAGGGATAGTGATTTTTTTTTGGATGGGGGACTTGGATCCTTGGGGAAGGCCTCAGAAGGTTTCCCAAAAACGTGGGGCTGCCAAAATGGCTTCATGGGGCAGCCTGTGGGAGTGCAGCTCATGCTCACTTGTTTCCAGGGGTGTTTGTCCTTGGGAATGGTGAGACTTGGATTTACCCAGGAAAAAAAAAAAAAAAAAAGGCTTGAAGGGCAGTTCCAGGTCTCACTCATCTCCTAGCACAAGGGAGGTCCTAGCTCTGTGGAAACCACAATGCTGAATCAGGAAAGGTCCTCCAGGTAACAAAATATTGAGTCATCTGCCAGCTGAAACAACCACCATCATGGTCTGAGAAACCTCTTTTTCAAGAAGAGATGGATGGGACATCAAATAACTCACAGAAGACCACAGAAGTCATGCATGGCCAAGCCATGGGCATAACCTCCGTCATCTCAAGACGACGTGCTACCCAACAGACCATCCTTACCCAATAGACCATCCTGATACAGCTGGAGCTGAACTTAATGTCTCTAGCCAGCCTGCCCTGAAGACACGCTGACCATCACTGGACATCCACTGACCAAGGGTGGCAACCCACCCTTCAGAAATCTGGCCTCACCACCCCAAAATATGCTGTTTCAAAAGGTATGACACTTAACCTGTGCCATTTAATTCGACCCTTGCCAAAATCCTTCACCGTTTCAACTGTTGATGTATGCACGCTGAAAAAAAGAAGCTGAAAGGAAACTAAGGAAACCAGAAGGACAAAACCTCAATGTCTATGATTTAGATTATCAGCAAAAGATTGTAAAGCTCATGATACAGTAACCAGATTAGGGAACATTGGTTTCATGGTCAGTGTCTGAATGTTGCTGTCTGCCCACTCCATCCCATGCCCTGTTGGGATGAGATCATGTTGGGGAAGGTGTGTGATGGATCTAATCTTCCTCTTTTATGTCTACTATAGCTTCTCTGTGTCTCTTGCCTGTGCCATCTCCCTGGGAAGTACCCATATTTTCCTTTTCCCCTGCCAATGGGGGCTGCAAATGAATTTTTTGAAGGTGTACACATGGCTGAGCCAGCCATGGTAGCTCCTGGAGGGATCTGGGCAGGATGAGGCCCCTCTGATGTGGCTGATCTGGCTTTGGGGGTGCTGAAATGAGTTCCCATCAAGTCACGCACCATACTTCCTCTCTAAGTTGTGCTCTGTGGTGCTCCCAGGCACTGCTCACCCTAAGGGCCCTTCCTTTCCCCCATCCTCATGGCCTTGCGTTGGATTTGTTCCACCAAACCACAGGAACTCATCTCGTATGGCCAGGTGAACTGATGAGCCAACCCACCTGATCCTTCCCTTCCCACCTCTCCCCAGCCATAACTCAGAGACCGATGAACCACTAAAGGCATAAGTATTATTGCAGATGTATTGAGTGCTAAGCCTGTAACCAGAACTCCCTTTTTCCCCCTCCCTGCTGGTATGGTGGGAGACTTCCTCCGTGCTCCCCTTTGCATCTCAGCTTTCCGCCAGCCTGACCTCAGGGTAGAGACTTTACAGCAGCCGAATGGCTTCGGGAGAACAGGAAACCAAAACAGGGCTGGAGATGGCTTCTGCGTGAACTCAGAGAGTGTATGGAAAAAAAAAAAAGCAAAATAAACAAAACCCAGCCACCACGGGCATCCACAGGCTGGATGTGCCCCCTCCCACAAAGGTCTCTGCATTCCCCACTCCCTGCGGTTTGGAAATCTTCCAAGTGTGTGACCCTCGGAGCAGTTGGCTGTTACATTTTCATACAGTGCTCAGGGCTGAAGCTGACTCCTAATTTGTCCACTTCCACCGATGGGGAGGTAATTTGCATTGATCTGAGTCCAGAGGAAAACTGCTTTCCTCTGCAGGACAGCTCAGAGCTACATCAGAGCACCACGGATGGGGTTTCGAGGCCCCATCCCCTGTGAAACCATGGCTGTGCTTTCCCTCTTTCATTGCAGGCAGTGTAGAACAACCTGTATGAAGAGTACTTGTGCTCCCTCAACTTTCAGTATGAACCCATGGAGTCACAGTGGGTATGGTCCTCCAATTTGGTGTTAGATGTCTGTGGTGTGGATGGCTCAATCAGAGCTGGTCACCTGAGGTCCGGGCTGCTGGAAGAAGGTATTTTAGGTAGAAGAAGGTATTTGAGGTTTCAATTCATTGAAAAATTATGTGGTTCATCACAGGATGGTGCCCTCAGCCACCAACTGTATTGACTGGGTTGTCACTGACAGTAAGAGGAGCCCAGGGTGACTAGCTCAGATAGAGGTGTTTAGGTAACAATTCCATCCATTCAAGTCTCAGATGAGAGGTCTTGTCACTCTCAGGACTCAATTTGGTTGTCCTTGCACGTGTCCCGTCATTTTAGACACCCAAGTGTCCTGACTGGCTTCAAGCTGATTTGCAGAAACTAATGAGATTAATTGAGTCTCATATTCATATGGCATTTCCATGCAGATGTTTCTCATCCTCCAGGACATCTCATTTGACTCTGGACATAAACATAACCTAAGTTTCAGCAGCTGGATAAGACCTTCAGGGCTTCAGTGTTTGTGTGCCCTGTTCCCCTCCAGTGTCACAGAGAGAGATGGAGGCGACTGGCTCAGACTGAGAAATTCAAATCTATGACTCCATGATTATATGATTTATTGCCTAGGTGGCTGGTGGAAAATTGCATTCTGAACATCACTGCTTTGTGCCTTGTATCCAACTTTCTCCTTTCGGCCTTTTCCTTCCCCCCTGCGTGAGACAATGGCAAGACTGCAACATTTATGCTGTGAAGCTGAAATGGATCCAGTGGTCTTCTGAGGGGTTGGCAGGCTGTGCTGAAGGGTGGGATTAGCAGTGCATTAGGATAGAAGAGTATGTAAGGACTTTCCAGATCAAGTATCTGCAGAGTTTCAGAAAGCTGCTGATTCAGATGCTGCTAATGACATGTTTGAAATTAGCAGGGACAGCATTTTACTGTTCTGAATGATAAGAAATGCCAGAAAGTCTCTGTCACGAGCCCTAGTCACTAATTTTCTTGCCTCTTTTATTTATTTATTTTTAATTAATTAATTAAATACTTATTTGTTGATTTATTTAGTAAAAGGTGTCGCTTAAAAAGCTTAATGGCAGGGAGAAGGAATATTTGCAAAAGGCACAAAATAGCCACTGATTTTCAAAGCCTAAAGAAAACAA